CCCTGCCTGCATCCCTGCATCCTGCATCCCCGTGTCCTGTATCCCTGCATCCTGCATCCCTGTGCCCTGCCTGCATCCCTGCATCCTGTGTCCCCACATCCTGCATCCCTGCATCCCCATGTCCTGCCTGCATTCCTGCATCCTGCATCCCTGCATCCTGCATCTAGTCTGCATCCTGCATCTAGTCTGCATCCTGCATCCCTGCATCCTGCCTGCATCCCTGCATCCCCACATCCTGCATCCCTGCATCCTGCCCGTGTCCCCACCATGGCATGGACCATCCTCGCTCCCTCTGGGGGTGGGAAGCACCTTGCCCCCCCCCCCCGCCTCCCTGCCCCACCGAGGGGTGCTTGTCCCCAGCTTTGTGAGGGCACATGGCACTGCCAGGCCCCAATTCCCACCAGGGTTGTGCAGGGACAGACCAAGCGCTCTGCTTTTGGACCCCGTTTTGGGGGGTGAGGCTTATCCCAAAATCCTGGTGAAATCTAGGCCTGGAGCTCATGGGGTGACGGGACATCCAGGTGACAGGACCCTCCGATGGCAGCACCCAAGGTCCAGGGGCCCCTCTTTGGGGGTGAGTGGTGGCACCGAGACCCAACCCTGGTCCCCTCCAGTGCCGGGGCCACCCCAACGTGTCGTGACCTCAAAGTGGCTGTTGCCATGAGAACCACGGCTACATCCATGTGGGTGCCACCTCGGGAAGGAGGGTGGCAAGGGGTTTAACACTCCTGGTGGCTTTGTCTCTGGTGGCACCGCGGGCAGCGAAGGTCACCCGGGGAATAATTTTATACACCTTCATTGTTAATTAATATAAAAAGCCGGTGGCCTCACGAGTAGTTCTTGGTACGTGGGGGTACCTGGGACCTGATGCACGGGGCACGTGCCTGATGCACGACTGCTCACGGTGACTGGGGACTGGGAGGACACTGGGGGACAGGAGAACCAGTCCCCTCCCTTGGCAGGGACACAGATCCAGGAGCTGCAGGACGGGGCTACCAGCCTGGCCACCACGGCCACCACGGCCACGCAGGACCCGGTCAGGGCTCTCCTGCCATCGGCGGGGTGAGACCCACGGCTCCGGGGGGTGCGTGGCTGCCCCCCGTGCCCAGTTTGCCCCATCAGCGGGGCGGCTCCGGGAGAGGCAGGGGTTGGTGCCCGCTGAGCAGGCGCCAGGGCTGCGGCGGCGCTGCCACCAGCTGAAATGCAGATGGAGCGCGATGGTAGATGTGATTAATAATGCAATCAGCGACCTATTTTTCCCGGCCTAACGTGCCATGAATATGAGGGCTGAATCCTGGTGATTGCTAAACGCCTTGCTATCTTTGGGGCCTATTCATAAAAAAAAAAAAAAAAACCCCCAAAAAAAAAAAACCCTCATCAGAACTGTAATCTGATCCAATTTATTCCTTTCCTGATGTTCATCAAATCTTTTCCTTTTTCAATTTTTTTTCTTCCTTTCCTTTCTTCTATTTTTTCTCCCCCCTCTCCCGCCCCTCTTTGCACATAAAATCCTTAAGTGGGGCAGCGGGAGGAGGAGGAGGAGGGAAGCTCAGATCTTCAAAGGGGCAGGGGGATGAGTGAGCTGAGTCCTCGTGCTGCCCCGGCCCCTTCTCGCTGCCCCGGTGCCATAAAGAGGCCTTAAAAGTGACTGTAACAGTGACACCCCCCCCCCCCCC